CACCGCATCAAAGGGTCGATGGACGGGGCCATGTACCGTCAAATCTTGGGTGAGAACCTCCTTCCCTCAGCCAGGGCATTGAAACTGGGTCATGGATGGGTATTCCAGCATGACAATGACCCAAAACACACGGCCAAGGCAACAAAGGAGTGGCTCAAGAAGAAGCACATTAAGGTCCTGGAGTGGCCTAGCCAGTCTCCAGACCTTAATCCCATAGAAAGTCTGTGGAAGGAGCTGAAGGTTCGAATTGCCAAACATCAGGCTCGAAACCTTAATGACTTGGAGAAGATCTGCAAAGAGGAGTGGGACAAAATCCCTCCTGAGATGTGTGCAAACCTGGTGGCCAACTACAAGAAACGTCTGACCTCTGTGATTGCCAACAAGGGTTTTGCCACCAAGTACTAAGTCATGTTTTGCAGTGTGGTCAAATACTTATTTCCATCATTAAAATGCAAATCAATTTAAAACATTTTTGACATGCTTTTTGCTGGATTTTGTTGTTGTTATTCTGTCTCTCACTGTTCAAATAAACCTACCAATAAAATTATAGACTGATCATTTCTTTGTCAGTGGGCAAACGTACAAAATCAGCAGGGGATCAAATACTTTTTTCCCTCACTGTATGTATATGTATTTATATGTATGTATGTGTATTTGTATGTGTATGTATATATACACTACCGTTCAAAAGTTTGGGGTCACTTAGAAATTTCCTTGTTTTTGAAAGAAAAGCAATTTTTTTTGTCCATTAAAATAACATCAAATTGATCAAAAATACAGTGTAGACATTGTTAATGTTGTAAATGGCTATTGTAGCTGGAAACAGCTGATTTTTAATGGAATATCTACATAGGCGTACAGAGGCCCATTATCAGAAACCATCAGTCCTGTGTTCCAATCAAATCAAACCAAATTGTATTTGCCACATGTGCCGAATACAACAGGTGTAAACATTACCGTGAAATGCTTACTTACAGCCCTTAACCAACAATGCATTTATTTTTTAATAAAAAAGTAAAATAAAACAACAACAACAAAAAAGTGTTGAGAAAAAAAAAGCAGAAGTAAAATAAAATAACAGTAGGGAGGCTATATACAGGGGGGTACCGGTACAGAGTCAATGTGCGGGGGCACCGGCTAGTTGAGGTAATATGTAGATGTGGGTAGAGTTAAAGTGAATATGCATTAATAATTAACAGAGTAGCAGCAGCGTAAAAAGATGGGGTGGGGGTGGGGGGGCAGTGCAAATAGTCTGGGAAGCCATGATTAGCTGTTCAGGAGTCTTATGGCTTGGGGGTAGAAGCTGTTGAGAAGCCTTTTGGACCTAGACTTGGCGCTCCGGTACCGCTTGCCGTGCGGTAGCAGAGAGAACAGTCTATGACTAGGGTGGTTGGAGTCTTTGACAATTTTGAGGGCCTTCCTCTGACACCGCCTGGTATAGAGGTCCTGGATGGCACGTTGTGTTTGCTAATCCAAGTTTATCATTTTAAAAGGAAAAAAAAACATATGGGGGATTGGAAGTGATGCAGACAATTACATTGATGGAAGTTACAATCTATCTGGAATATTAAAGCTGATCCCCCCCCCCCCCCAATTTTTTTTTATATAAAATAATAATAATATACATGTCAATCTCTCCTGGCTCAAAGTGGAGGAGAGATTGACTTCATCACTGCTTGTGTTTGTGAGAGGTGTTGACATGTTGAAAGCACCGAGCTGTCTGTTTCAACGACTGGCACACAGCTCAGACACCCATGCATACCCCACAAGACATGCCACCAGAGGTCTCTTCATAGCTCCCAAGTCCAGAACAGACTATTGGAGGCGCACAGTCCTACATAGAGCCATGACTACATGGAACTCTATTCCACATCATGTAACTGATGCAAGCAGGAGAATCAGATTTTAAAAAACAGATACAAATACACCTTATGGAACAGCGGGGACTGTGAAGCAACACAAACATAGGCACAGACACATGCATACACACACATGATAACATACGCTCTATACACACACGCACACATGGATTTTGTGTGGTAGATATGTGGTAGTGGAGTAGGGGCCTGAGGGTACACACTTAGTGTGCTGTGAAATCTGTTATGAATGTATTGTAATGTTTTTTTTAAATGTATAACTGCCTTAATTTTGCTGGACCCCAGGGAGAGTAGCTGCTGCCTTGGCAGCAGCTAATGGGGAACCATAATAAATACAAATACAAATACTGTACCTACTACCTCTACTGTATCTACCTACTGTATTTACTGTATCTACCTACTGTATCTACCTACTTTCCCTACTGTACCTACCTACTATATCTACCTACTGTATCTACCTACTTCCCCTACTGTATCTACCTACTGTATCTACCTACTGTATCTACCTACTGTATCTACCTACTTCCCCTACTGTATCTACCTACTGTATCTACCTACTGTATCTACCTACTGTATCTACCTACTTCCCCTACTGTATCTACCTACTGTATCTACCTACTGTATCTACCTACTGTATTTACTGTACCTACCTACTGTAACTACTGTACCTACTGTATCTACCGACTGTACCTACTGTTTTTCCTGTATCCTACCTGCCCTGCCTATCTGCGTGTACAGTACAGCCTACTAGCTACATCAATACAAAATCATCCATCCAATATCAATATTTAATGTTACTTAACTCAATGGCAGCCATTCGGTGACTGTGGATCTTCAAGGTAGTTTGCAGGTCTTTTGTATAATGCACGAGATTGGTTTATCCGTGATTCTCCTCCCCCCCCCCCAAATACAACATACCCCGGAAATGACAGCTGTTTCTTCTTCCTGTGAATGAAATTTGCCAGTGGCCAAATTGAGTAAACATAAATGTACATTTGGTTGGTAACTTTACAGCAAAGTTGTTGTTGCACAGTGTTAACATGGCCTGAATTAAATACATGTAATTGATTTTGGTTGATTCGTCTTCCCCTGGATTTCGCCAAGTTGTAAGATAAAGACGGCCAAGGAAAGAGCGCGTGGGGATAATAGCGGGCTGTGCGTGTGACATCACACAGATTCTTCACTGGCTCCTCTCGGCATAGCTCCCGTTTGTATTTAGGGGGATGGGGCCATGCCGAGGATGATAAAGCGCTCATGGTGTTGTAATTTACTCCTTGGCTAAATCCTTCCACTTCCTAACGGAGCCTTCCACATTGTTTTATGTAGTACCCATTCACGTATGTATTTTGGCGACGTTTGACTGGAGAAAAGTGGAGTAGCCATACGACCACGGTGCAAGCTGAAAAACTACAAAATGTATTCCAGTGGAGCTGCTGGAGGTAAGTTGTGCATTGCTAGTTAGCAAGACGGCTAACTAAAAATGGGCTGATTTTATTTCGTTGGGGCATCTTCAATCATTTGCATGATTTTTTGTTTTCATTCTGTAACAAATTGTTCGCCAACCTCAATTTCAGAATAACATTTCGTTTCCAACTAGCTAGCTACCTAGATAATGTTAGCAAGCCTTGCCACCGTTCCCGGCCTGTTGTTACTGTAGCTGTTAACTATGCCTGTTGACCTGGCTAACGATAGCTGGAAGTCGATTAACTTGTTTAAAGCAAATGTTTGCTAATTTGTCCAAATGAATCTTACTTTAGGATTGGACTTGAACAACAAGTTATAGAAGAAAGAATTCGATCATCAAATAGTTGGCAATTAGGTAGCCATCTTGCTAGCTAACGTTAGCCAGCTCAGATGAACAAATTGTTAGCTAGCCAGTTAGTCACCTTCCCTTAGCCAACTGCGGCTTGTTAGCCTTTTCAAATGTTCGCTATCTAGCTGGTTTGCATGCTGACTAGCTAACACAATTTAGCTAGCTTAATGACTTGGTTTGTATGCTAGTTAACTAACACTATTTAGCTACTTTTTTAGCCATTGTTTGTTTTGTAACTTGCTATGTTAACCCTAGTTATATTTTTCAGAGGCTGTTTGAAAAAGTTATTCTCTATGCTCTTGGCTAACTAGTTACCATTATGGGGACCAGTCAATTTGCTATGAATTAAGCAAGCGTCGATAATTTAGTAATGCATCCTTTGCTAAATTAACGTTAGTGAGTTGACATTGAAAATGTGCACCGATTGTTTGTGAACAAATTGCCGTAAAGTTAAGGCCAAACAAAGAAAATATAATCCTCTCCTAACGTGCAGGTAGCTTAGTGGGTAAGAGCGTTGTGCCAGTAACCGAAAGGTCGCTGGTTCTAATCCCCGAGCCGACTAGGTGAAAAATCTGTCGATGTGCCCTTGAGCAAGGCACTTAACCCTAATTGCTCCTGTAAGTCGCTCTGGATAAGAGCGTCTGCTAAATGACTAAAAATGTAAATGTAAAAATGTGCTGTTTTAGTTTGTGCAGGTGATAACATGGCCTGGTATTTAGGTTTGGAAAATCATGCATTGTGACTAGTAGTTAACCTAATTTACTAAAGTTAGCTAGCTAATAGATTATACTAGTAGTAGCATAGAATTGTTCATCCCTCCTAGATTTTTCAAGGTGCAGCAAATTTGGGTGAAATTAAGATTAGCTAGAAAATAAGGTTGCACCACTGATATTCTTGTTGACTAACTATTTTTCTGTTGATTATTTCCTACCCTCCACCTATCGAGAATGATAATGCCAAGTTTCAGAAAGATGAGTGGTTTAGGAGTGGTCAGACTGCCCGGTTGCTGATTTGCTGGTGTGTGCTTGTTGATAAGGGAGCAGAAACATCGCCCCAGCAGGTGTAGCTACATGACCCTGTTCTAAGGCTGATAAGAGGGGAAGGCATTTGGAGATAGTTAGCTAGCTATACAGGAATAAACTATGGGGAATACAAATGGACATGAAGAATGACGTGACAAGGTTTCCTTTGGGCATTTTCAACAGAAGGAGTAATATCTAAGAATATTACAAAACATTTTGTGATCCATTCAGCCTTCATTGTGAAACACGTCAATTGACCACCAATTTTCTTCTTCTCTAGCTGCTGAGATGCTTGAACCACCTCACTCCTCTGGGTCAATTGGCTCTGGTAAGCTTCTTTCACACCAGTCTTGGGCTAAGTCTAGCACTATGTTCGTACCGCCAGCCTACTATACCCTGTAGTAGACATGTTTGTTTTCTCCTGTCCCCCGGACTGCTGTAATTTAAATGTCTTGATTATGGCATGCAAATACGGCAAGTGTAATTGTAGGAGTCACTTGGATGAAAAAGTGTTTACCAGCAAGAAAGAACAGCGGACTGCACAGAAGCGCTAGGCATGTCTTTTCCAAAGAGACTGGTTTGCATCTCTCAATATGTCCTGAATATCAGACCCCTGAAATATTTTATTCTACTGAATATTACAGCAGTTATTCTCAGACATTCTGATTTTTAAATAGAGAGAAGTCCTATAATTTGTTAAAGTTCACACTCTTCATAGAGGCTTAGCTAGCTGAGAGAACAAATGACCACCGGGGGAAAAAAGTCAGCTCAAGGGAAGACTGCATTTTTCTGTTAAACTTTCCTGGTAGTTTTCCCTGCCACATTAACAATGTCTTAATCATGCGTTAAGACTCACAAGGACATTCCACTTGTCCTCTTCAGAGTGACATTGGACATGACAGCTTTGTACTGTATAGCTAGCTAGCTAGTGTGCATTGTTAAAGTCAAAAGGGAGTTATGTGGATTCAAAGAGCTGGAGAACAGAGATAAGACGTCAAAGGGAGTATGTTCAGACAGGTCCCTCCGTGACCTCAAGGACCCAGACTGAAGACGCCCGTTCGCTGAATGAACACAGTCAAACTCGGACAGGGCTCACCAACCAAATAGTTCAAGCATGGCAGCAAAATGTATTGAGCATCCATACAACTATTCACATTCTAGAAAATAATATTCCACTTTCAAGTGTGAAAGAGTAATCTTGTGAGTTACCCCATTATAGCCTGGTCCCAGGTCTGTTTGTGTTGTCTTTCCAACTCATGAACATATGAGTTGGTAAAACTTATCAAAGTTCTGGGACCAGGCTAAATAATCTGTTCTGTATGTACAGTTATTAACTTGTTTCTTTGTTTGCTTCCTACCCCTGACCCCTCTGATCCAGATCCCCCGTCTCCCCCAGTGCCAGAGTATGTGTTCAAACCCCCCTCACGGCCAGACTTTGGCACCATGGGCAGGACAATCAAACTGCAGGCAAACTTCTTTGAGATGGAGATCCCCAAACTGGAGGTCTACCACTATGACATCGACATCAAGCCAGAGAAATGCCCCAGAAGGGTCAACCGGTATGGAACTGTTTTATTTGGTGTATGGGCTTACCCTGAGCCAAATAACTAGTAGGCCATTATCTAGTTAATTACATTTTGTACTGTTGATAATGTCTAACACGCTCCATTTGTGTTCTTCTCAGTGAAATTGTGGAGCACATGGTACAGCACTTTAAAACGCAGATCTTTGGTGATCGAAAGCCAGTGTATGATGGGAGGAAGAATCTTTACACAGCCATGCCCTTACCCATAGGGAGGGAAAAGGTAAGTCTCCCCGTCTGACCAGAGGTGTCTGTTATGTGAAGGCCCCTATGTTATTGGACAGCTGTGATTGCATGCAATGTGATAGTGTATACACTTGGTGGTCATTTTATTAGGTACACCAATCTAGGACTGGGTCGGACCCCCCTTTGCCTCCAGAACAGCCTGAATTCTTCAGGGCATGGAAATGTTGCTCAAATGGTATCAAGGGACCTAACGTGTGCCAGGAAAACATTCCCAACACCATTACACCACCACAACCAGCCTGTACCATTGACACCAGGCAGGATGGGGCCAGGGACTCATGCTGCTTACGCCAAATCCTGACTCTGCCATCAGCTTGACGCAACAGGAACCGAGATTCATCGGATCATGCAATGTTTTCCACTCCTCAATTGTTCAGTGTTGGTGATCGCGTGCCAACTGAAGCCTCTTCTTGTTTTTAGCTGAGAGGAGTGGAACCCGGTGTGGCCGTCTGCTGCAATAGCCCATCCGTGACAAGGACCGACGAGTTGTGCGCTCCGAGATGCCGCTCTGCACACCACTGTTGTACGGCGCCGTTATTTGTCTGTTTGTGGCCGGCCTGTTAGCTTGCACGATTCTTGCCTTTCTTCTTCGACCTCTCATCAGCTAGCTGTTTGCGCCCACAGGACTGCCGCTGACTGGATTATTATTTTTTTGTCACACCATTCTCGGTAAACCCCAGACACTGTCGTGCGTGAAAAGCCCTGGAGGCCGACCAGCTTCTGAGATACTGGAACCGGCGTGCCTGGTACCAACGATCATACTACGCTCAGTCGCTTAGGTCACTCGTTTTGCCCATTCTAACGTTCAATCGAACAGTAACTGAAAACCTTGATGCCTGTCTGCATGTAGCAAGCCACGGCCACGCGATTCACTGTCTGTAGAAGCTAACCATTTTCATAAACTGGGTGGTCTACCTAAATAAACTGGCCACTGAGTGTAAATTACAGCCATGATATTGGTTTTCATCTTGTGTATAGACTACTTATCACACATGTCTTGGGGTATACAGTGCTGTGAAAAAGTATTTGCCCCCTTTCTGATTTTCTCTGCTTTAGCATATTTTTGATACTGAACGTTATCAGATCTTCAACCAAAACCTAATATTAGATAAAGGGAACCTGTGTGAACAAATAACACAACAATTACGTACTTATTTCATAAACAAAGTTATGCAACACCCAATGCCCCTGTGTTGAAAAAGTAATTGCCCCCTTAAACTCTAACTGGTTGTGCCACCTTTTAGCTACAATAACTGCAACCAAATGCTTCCTGTAGAACTGCTTTAACTCAGCGACATTTGTGGGTTTTCAAGCATGAACTGCTCGTTTCAAGCCCTGCCACAACATCTCAATTGGTATTAGGTCTGGACTTTGACAAGGCCATTCCAAAACATCAAATTTGTTGCTTTTTAACCATTTTCATGTGGACTTGATTGTGTGTTTTGGATGATTGTCTTGCTGTATGACCCATCTGTGGATGGCCTGACATTCTCCTGTAGAATCTTCTGATACAGAGCAGAATTCATGGTTCCATCTATTAAAAAGCTATACTTTTGACTCATTTGTCCATAGAACATACTTCCAAGAGTCTTGATGATCATCCAGGTGCATTTGGCAAATTTTGAGTAAACCTGTTGGACGACATGGGTCCCATTTATGCCTGTCGAAAACCAAACATTGCATTCCATAGTATGTACCTAATACCAACGGTCAAGCGTGGTGGTAGTGGGATGCTTTGCTGCCTCAGGACCTGTTGGGTGTTGCATTACTTTGTTTATGAATTAAATGAAATAAGTATGTAATTGTTGTTGTTTAACTCAGTTTCCCTTTATCTAATATTAGGTTTTGGTTGAAGATCTGATAACGTTCAGTATCAAAAATATGCAAAAATAGAGAATCAGAAAGGGGGCAAATACTTTTTCGCTGAACTGTATATTCAACAAACTTGCCTGTTGAAATGAAAAACCCTTTAATCAAGCTTTTTGATGCTTCAAGGTAGTCATGCCGATTTTGTAAACAGGCCAAAACACCTGTGTCCACAAACAGGTGGAGCTGGAGGTGACCATCCCAGGCGAGGGGAAGGACCGGAACTTCAAAGTGGCCATAAAGTGGGTGTCCTGCGTCAGTCTGCAAGCTCTTCAGGAAGCCCTGTCTGGCCGGCTGCCAAACATCCCCTTTGAGACCATCCAGGCCCTGGATGTAGTCATGAGACATTTGCCCTCTATGAGGTCAGTCTTGTCCCCTTTAAAACGATCAGTATATTTTCGCTATGTATTGTTGGTATTTAATGGTGCTATTTAGAGTTACAGCACATTCATAGTTGTCAAACAATCGTTCTCGTGCAAATGGGCTCAATCGAACCAGTAAATGGGTCCACCCATTTCCCAAGACACTTCTTCAATCTTTCCCTCAAACATGGTCACAAATCGCTGTTTTCTTTGTACACACCAAAGCCTTACAATCCCCATTCACTTCTAGTATGTTTGTCCCTGTGGGTTATGCAAATTGTCTATTGTAAGCCAATTTCTGTTGAGAGAAGGGTATGAATCACATTTTCCTCCTACCCTCTTCCAACAGGTACACCCCCGTCGGACGTTCTTTCTTCACCCCTTCAGAGGGCTGCTCTAACCCCCTGGGTGGGGGCAGAGAGGTCTGGTTTGGGTTCCACCAATCGGTCAGGCCTTCCCTGTGGAAGATGATGCTAAACATTGACGGTATGTTTCACGCCGCAAATTACTGCGTCCCAAATGGCACCCTATTCCCTATATAGTAGGGAATGTGCCATTTGTGACACAATCAATGTGTCAGACTACAGTATGTCTCTGTGTAGGGTGTATGAATGGAAGGAGGATAGTACTGGGAATGTCATTCCATGGTAGGTTTCAGTCAGTAAATAGGTGGCATTGATTAAGCTCTCACTAAAGTGCTGATTGGGTGCGGGCTTGTACTTTTGTGGTAATGCCATTGGTCCAGAAAGTGTAAACCCAACCCACTATGCTCAAACGAATGCAACCTACCATAATCGTAAGCTACAGTATGTATCTGGAAGCCGGAGGATAGGTCTGTGAACCTGTGCTTGTGTTTTGTTGTTCCAGTGTCGGCCACCGCGTTCTACAAGGCTCAGCCTGTGATTGAGTTCATGTGTGAGGTTTTGGATTTCAAAAGCATTGAAGAACAACAGAAGCCCTTAACCGACTCCCAGAGAGTAAAGTTTACCAAGGAAATCAAAGGTAATCATTCATTACCAGGTAATCAATAGTTGCGTTGGGTTGGTTGTTTTGTCTGTCTGAGTGGAAATACTTGAAAATACTTATATCCAACAATTCTGTACTATAACAAATATAAATGTTGCTATGATACGTGTATATATTTTTGTGTATTGACTTAAAATCTTAATTTGACATCAGAGTAGAATGTGATGAAATAGGAAAACGTGATTGTCTACAGAGTGTGAATCTGACCACTGTCTTGCCGTTGTGATTCTCAGGTCTGAAGGTTGAGATCACTCACTGTGGTCAGATGAAAAGGAAGTACAGAGTGTGTAACGTGACCAGAAGACCAGCCAGCCACCAGACGTAAGAAGTAACACCCTAAAATATTCACAACAGCCTCAATTCCTTTAGTTTTCTGTGATATAAACACGACTGGTTTACATAGGGATGTAATAGAAACTAACCTATATTAACATATGCTTAACACATCATTTCATGCACAGATTAGGAGCAGATCCCAATCAGGTAAAACAGAAATCCCCACATGGGATCTTGGATTTCTTTGGAAATCCATTGTAACTTTCTTTCTTTATTTTGCTCGCTCATCTGTTTGACCTCAGGTTTCCACTGCAGCAGGAGAATGGCCAGACCATAGAATGCACGGTAGCGCAGTACTTCAAAGACAAATACAAACTCATACTGCGCTACCCCCACCTCCCCTGTCTACAGGTCGGACAGGAGCAGAAACACACCTACCTCCCCCTCGAGGTCAGTCTGCAGTTTCCCCTCACAACCTCTCAGATGGTTTACTACTGGGTTCAAATGGTTACAAATAATGAGGACCCGGGCGGTATTACAGAAACTCCAGTTCACCATTACATCGTCAGAGGATGCACAAGAGTATGTTTTAGTAATTTAGCAGACGCTCTTTACAGTAGTGAGTGCATACATTTTTGTACTGGTCCCCCGTGAGAATCGAACCCACAACCCTGGCGTTGCAAGCGCCATGCTCTACCAACTGAGCTACACGGGACATCCTTGCGTCCGCCACACCCCCTTTGAATCAGCTGTTTTCTCGAAGGAGAAAAGCATGCACACATTTAAAAACTATACGATACTCATCCTTTTATCTTGAAAATGCATTGCGCAACTAGCTACGTTTAGTTTTTAATCACTTTACACATTTATTTTGGGATTCCACCCCATAAACGCAATTTGCCTGATGACGCGCGAGTGGAGGAGTCTTATTTCATACAAGCGCATTTGTTTCCACATTTCCTCTCCTCTATTACCTTTTACCTTTTTCAAAAGGAAGAGAGGACTGAGGATTTAGCAAAACCAATTAAGAATCTCCATATGCGAGACTATTCTCCGGATGATGCCTTCGTGATGTGTCCCTGAGGGTGGTAATAAAGCTGTGTTGTAATGCATGTGTCTAGGTCTGTAACATAGTGGCTGGCCAGCGGTGCATCAAGAAGCTGACCGACAATCAGACGTCCACTATGATCCGTGCCACAGCCCGATCGGCACCCGACCGTCAGGAAGAGATCAGCAAACTGGTAAAGAGACTTAACTGACTTGGGAGTGTAAACTCAAGCACGGTGTCTTGAAAGCTGCTTTTATGAACTTTAAAATGATCTATTTGGATGTACAACAACAACAACTCTGAACTACTGTTATTGAACTATTGATGGCCTGACCATATGTGAATGTTTTCGTTCAGTCAGTCTTTCCAACGTCCTAGAGTGTGTATATATAAACCCTCCAAATTATTTCCACTGAACCTTTGCTCTCTTTTCAGATGAGAAGTGCCAACTTTAACAATGATCCTTACGTTCGTGAGTTTGGGGTGATGGTGAGGGATGAGATGACCGAGGTGAACGGTCGAGTCCTCCAGGCCCCATCTATCCTCTACGGAGGGCGGGTAGGTTTCTGCCATTTAAGCTGGGTTGATTGGGGTGAACGGCAGAGTCCTCCAGGCCCCATCTATCCTCTAACGGTTATCAGCAATAGCCAATGAGAGCTGGCCAGAGAAGAAGCCAGCTGGTAGAGCACGGCGCTTGTAACGCCAAGGTAGTGGGTTCGATCCCCGGGACCACCCATACACAAAAATGTATGCACGCACGACTGTAAGTCGCTTTGGATAAAAGCGTCTGCTAAATGGCATATTATTTATTTTTTTATTTATAGATGATAATGTTGTTTCGCCTCACCCAGAATGCGTAGACTCTCGCACTGGAGCCATGACTACTACTAGTATGCGTCTGTACTTGCCTTTAACCAAAGCCAAAGTGTCAAATAGTTACAGGTCTGAAGTGCACAAGCAATGTTATTCAATTCAAAATGTTGACTAGACATTTCAGCTCTGTATGGCAAGCGTGAATGTCTGACAACGTTTGAGGCTGCTTTGAGCCACAGCACGTTGTAGCTATGTTAAATCTAATCACATTGGGGAGACAGCGTGGTATCAACAATCCTCACGACCAAGTGAAGAGTCTTGTAGTGTGTGACCTCAGTCTGTGCCACAACGTTTAGTGTGCATACCACTATGTTGGCAACACAAACAGAACCTACAGGAAAGCCAGTCATTCAATGTGAGGCTCAGCGATGTTAGGATTTTGAAAGTATGTAGTGTACACCCGGGTTAAGGTATCATTGTCATGTTTTGTTTTATTGCATAATTCTTGCTGGAACCATGTAGACATAGAAAAATATTTAAAAAATATCCCATTCCCAGACAACTATTTGTCTCTGACCCTTATCTCTTCTCCCTTTTACTCAAGCAGAATAAAGCAATAGCAACTCCCATCCAGGGAGTGTGGGACATGAGGAACAAGCAGTTCCACACTGGCATTGAGATCAAGGTGTGGGCCATCGCCTGCTTTGCCCCACAGAGACAGTGCACTGAACTCCTCCTCAAGTAAGAACTACAGCTGCAAGGAGCCCTTAGAAGTAGCCTCATGACCATCGGGGGGGGTCTATTAAACATTCCGTTTTTTTAAATGGAAGTTATAGTTTCAGATGTGAAAGTATTGAAAAATACTTTTTCTTCTGTGTTGGCCCTCTTATGATTTCCATCGACACCATCTTTTTGGAATCCAATAAAGAGTTTTAAGACACTTGTATTGTGTTTTTGTACCTTTTTAACCTGTTTTTCTCTCAGGGCGTTCACAGACCAGCTGCGTAAGATCTCTCGCGACGCGGGGATGCCCATCCAGGGCCAACCCTGTTTCTGTAAGTACGCCCAGGGTGCGGACAGCGTGGAGCCCATGTTCAAACACCTCAAGTACACCTACCAGGGCTTGCAGCTGGTGGTGGTCATCCTGCCTGGGAAGACGCCTGTCTATGGTGAGGAAACTGGAAGCTATACTGAACAAAAATATAAACGAAACATGCAACAATTTAAGTTACAGTTCATATGAGGAAATCAGTCAATTGAAGTAAATTGATTAGGCCCTAATCTATGGATTTCACATGACTAGGAATACAGATATGCATCTGTTGTTCAGTCTATTCTTGTTCTGAGAAATGAAGGCTATTTCTTGCAAGAAATTGCCAAGAAACTGAAGATCTCATACAACGCTGTGTACTACGCCCTTCACAGAACACCAGTCTCAACGTCAACAGTGAAGAGGTGACTCCGGGATGCTGACCTTCTAGGCAGAGTTGCAAAGAAAAAGCCATATCTCAGACTGGCCAATAAAAAGAAAAGATTAAATCTGAGAGATGGCTTTTTCTCTGCAACTCTGCCTAGAAGGTCAGCATCCCGGAGTCGCCTCTTCACTGTTGACGTTGAGACTGGTTATTTGCGGGTACTATTTAATGAAGCTGCCAGTTGAGGACCTGTGAGGCGTCTTTCTCAAACTAGACACTAATGTATTTGTCCTCTTGCTCAGTTGTGCACCGGGGCCTCCCACTCCTCTTTCTATTCTGGTTAGAGCCAGTTTGCGCTGTTCTGTGAAGGGAGTAGTACACAGCGTTGTATGAGATCTTCCGTTTCTTGTCAATTTCTCGCATGGAATAAATAGCCTTCATTTCTCAGAACAAGAATAGACTGATGAGTTTCAGAAGAAAGTTATTTGTTTCTGGCCATTTTGAGCCTGTAATCGAACCCACAATTGCTGATGCTCCAGATACTCAACTAGTCTCAAGAAGGACAGTTTTATTGCTTCTTTAATCAGCACAACAGTTTTCAGCTGTGCTAACATAATTGCAAAGGGGTTTTGTAATGATCAATTAGCCTTTTTAAAATGATAAACTTGTATTAGCAAACACAACATGCCATTGGAACACAGAACTGATGGTTGCTGATAATGGGCCTCTGTATACCTATGTAGTCCCGTGTAGCTCAGTTGGTAGAGCATGGCATTTGCAACGCCAGGGTTGTGGGTTCGATTCCCACGGGGAGGCAGTATGAAAATGTATGCACTCACTAAAAAACTGTAAGTTGCTCTGGATAAGCGCGTCTGCTAAATGACTAAAATGTAAACAATTTAAATATTCCATTAAAAATCAGCCGTTTCCAGCTACAATAGCCATTTACAACATTAACAATGTCTACACTGTATTTCTGATCAATTTTATGTTATTTTAATGGACAATAAAATTGCTTTTCTTTCGAAAACAAGAATTTCTAAGTGACTCCAAACTTTTGAACGGTAGTGTATGTTCCTAAGTGAATGACTGTCACTGTTTATAAATCCTATTGGTTCAGTTAGTGCTGTGCTCTATATGCGGTTTTTGATTATTTAGTGGATTATATTTTCAACCGTATGAAATCAAATTTCATATGTAAACGTTCTACCTTACAATCACACACATTTTTACATTTTAGTCGTTTAGCAGACACTCTTATCCAGAGTGACTTACAATTAGTGCATTCATCACACTAATTCCGAATTCATTGCAGCACACACAAAGCTAGCTGTATATCGCTCCTGTTGTGCTGACATGGCTTGTCTCCCTCATCCCTGCCTCTCTGTGGTGTAGCTGAGGTGAAGCGTGTTGGTGACACGGTGCTGGGGATGGCCACCCAGTGTGTCCAGGTGAAGAATGTTCAGAAGACCACTCCCCAGACCCTCTCTAACCTCTGCCTGAAGATCAATGTCAAGCTGGGCGGGGTCAACAACATCCTCCTCCCACAGGGCAGGTCAGTGCAGAACCTCTCTCATTAACATGGCTATGAATACATGCTGGTTTACTGTTAAAGTCTAGCAGTATTGGACTCCGCATTCGGTTAAAATGTATAAACCATGTGTTTACCCATGACATCTGTGAGACTGACATTCTTCCATAATATCTTGAAACAAGCCACGCAAGCTATCAATCTACTCATTCACCTATATATCCACCAGCTCTAAGTGAAAAGTCAAGTCAATCTCCTCCAGCCAGCCATCCATCCATGCATGTATATGTCCATTCTTCTGTTCACGCGTCTTCTCCTCTGTGATGATGGCTCTGGTTAACCTTGTGGGTGTCTGTTCTTCCCAGGCCCCTGGTGTTCCAGCAGCCGGTCATCTTCCTGGGTGCTGACGTCACTCACCCTCCTGCTGGAGACGGGAAGAAACCCTCCATAGCTGCAGTAAGTCAGACAGACCAGCCTCTCCACAGGGCCTTGTGTCAACTACCAGGGACTGTAGGGGTGCATCTCAATAGTCTACAGTAGTTTATTTTACTATACCCACAGGACCATGTTTCTGCTAGGGAGTAGGGGGTGCAGTAGTCTACAGTAGTTTATTTTACTATACCCACAGGACCATGTTTCTGCTAGGGAGTAGGGGGTGCAGTAGTCTACAGTAGTTTATTTTACTATACCCACAGGACCATGTTTCTGCTAGGGAGTAGGGGTGCAGTAGTCTACAGAGGTATCCTTTACTATGTCCAACATCATCATCTGAAATGGAGAGAACTGAGGGAATCAATAGCCTACCACTCCGCCTTGCTCACTAACCGGCTTCCACCTGACTTTCAAAACAGCAAAAAATAGAAATGATCCTAAGTGTGCTCTGTGCTTCCTCAGGGATGTAGTTCTTCCTGATGAATCAGGAATCCCTACATGACTCCATCCTCCATTCACATATACTTTTAAGCTGACCTATCCCCCTAGCCAAAATCCCCACGTGTATGTTTGTATATTGTCCTGATCACATCCCTGTTCCTCTTTTCTAGGTGGTGGGGAGCATGGATGCCCACCCCAGCCGCTACTGTGCCACGGTGCGGGTGCAGCAGCATCGCCAGGACATCATCCAGGACCTGGCCACCATGGTCAGAGAGCTGCTCATCCAGTTCTACAAGTCCACCCGCTTCAAGCCCACCCGGATCATCTACTACCGCGACGGCATATCTGAGGGCCAGTTCAACCAGGTTAGACTTGAGGTAGACTTGAGGAAATAGGATTTCAATTCAATTGCATGATCTTTAATTGTACTGTACTGGTCGTGAGTAAAGGATTTTCTGTTATTTGTTTTTCTATTGGTTACCGTTCCAATTTAATTCTGAATGCCTAGTCTTTGTTTTTACTGCAATCAAATGTTTTCTTTTTTTTACTTTAACTTTCTTTTTGTTTATCCCAGATGTGCTTCTGTTTCTATTGGTAACCATTCCAATTCTGAATTGCCCAATCAATTTTGTATTTTTTTTGCCGGTTTTATAAATGTATATATTGTGACGTGTGGGAGTTATTGTTTTTAAACTATAACTGTCGTTTTGGGGTTTATCCAGGTGCTCCAACATGAGTTACTTGCAATCCGTGAGGCCTGCATCAAACTGGAGAAAGACTACCAGCCCGGTATCACCTTCGTGGTGGTGCAGAAGAGACACCACACTCGACTGTTCTGCATGGACAGAAACGAGAGGGTTCGTAATCTCTCCAATTCATACTGACCACTATTATTACTGGAAATGAAACGTGTATATTAAATGCCGACATTGTAATATTGTATGATTTATGTGATTCCTAATGTGTTTTGTTCAGGTTGGTAAGAGTGGTAACATCCCTGCCGGCACCACAGTGGACACCAAAATCACTCACCCATCGGAGTTTGACTTCTACCTGTGTAGCCACGCTGGCATTCAGGTAGGGACCAGCCAGCGTCCCGGGCTGCATCCCAAATGCCTCCGTATTGCCTATATAGTATACTACTTTGGTACAACCCAGGACACTATAGAGCTAGCTAGTGGAGAAGGGACTATTCTGGAAGGGAACCCACCTCCAGCTTTACTACTATGTGCTTCTGAGATGTTGTAGTTTACCTGCTATAAACGTTTTTATAATTGGGATGTTTAACATTTCTAGACTCTGGTTGTAGTAGAGCTAAATGACATGCATTACCACTAAACATGAGTTAATAATTGTAATACCTTTCCCCAGGGGACCAGCCGACCATCCCACTACCATGTGCTGTGGGACGACAACCATTTCACCTCGGACGAGCTGCAGGTGCTCACCTACCAGCTGTGCCACACCTACGTGCGCTGCACCCGCTCCGTCTCCATCCCAGCACCAGCCTACTACGCACACCTGGTGGCATTCCGTGCCCGCTACCACCTGGTGGACAAGGAGCACGACAGGTAAGGGAGACGTCACCATGCCTGATGTAGACCATGGCCCTGTTCTGATACCCTGTTAAAGTAACTCTTATTTCCATCATATCACTGTACCATTCAAACTGTGGTGTGTTAGTGATTACCAGAATGTGATGAAGGAAGAATGATATATTCTTAAAGAATTCGGACCGAATAATTCACTAACTCTTTCCCTTGTGATCATTCCAGTGCGGAGGGCAGTCACACGTCGGGACAGAGCAACGGGCGCGACCAGCAGGCCTTGGCCAAGGCAGTTCAGATCCACCAGGACACACTGCGCACCATGTACTTCGCCTGAAGCACCAGGCCTGGGCACCGGGGGCGGGCATGGGTGAGACAGACCCAACAGGGAAGAAGCCTTCTCTCCTCCCACCTAACCCCTTTACTGTGTGGGCGTTAAGTGGGTTTGTGCCATCTCGTCTCTCCCCGCCAGTAAGGGGGAATGATACAAGTGTCACACCAAACAAATTAGGTAGGGTTTCTTTTCCAAAATGTCCACAATTGTTTTCAAACACACACATGCAAAACCGCTTTCTTCCCCCCCCTTCCTGGCCTAACCCTGGTCATTATTAGGCAGTAGTATGTAAAATGATTCCTCAGAAATGGATTGTGGTGGTATTTGTACATTGGGGGGGGATAACCTGTTTACAGAGTTTGAGCAAAGGAAAGAAAAATCGGTATTACTTTTTTTACACTGACAGTTGGAAATACTTCTATCAAACTAGGGGGCAGTATCATCACACTTTGGGGTTGTTTAGAATCTACACACAAGATCACACTATACCGTTTTTTTTTAAGGGGTCCCCAGGGTTGAAGGGAGGTGGGGATATCGAAGACGAGAAGGGTCCGATAGAAGGTTTATAATCATTGTTACTCTTCAACTTTATTTATCAGCCAATCAAAGCAAAGTGCACTGACCAGACGGATACTTTAACCAGGACACAAGTACTTAACGTGTTGTCTTTTCCTTTGTATGTACTATGAATTTAACAGGCTCGGATACAGTACCAGCCTCAGAGTATTTGTCCTCCATCAACACTGGTGACCAACACACGTTTTTATGCTGCATCTGATGACTGCTAAGCAAGTGGTTTTTGCATTAGATTTTCATTAGACTTTGAAACTGTTAACACTTATTTTTTATCAAGACTTATACAAATTAATAATATGAAATCGTAACGACAGTCATTTTTGCTGTCTTGCCTTTTACTTGGACTGGGTTGTTTTGTAAATCTATGGCCAGTGTGGCCAGAGAATAGATTTACTAATAGAATGGGACTGGTTCCCAACAGACACCTTTGTTGTGTTCTCTGAGCCACATTACATGTGAAGACATCTACATTAGGGAGGGGTCAAGTCTCTTGAAATGGAATCCGTCATCTTGTTTTAGTATCCCCCTTATTTCCATGTGATTCCTTTTTTTTTCTTTTTTTTTTGCGCATAGATGACTCACACATTCGATTTAGGCATTTGGATATGTTAACCCTATCTGTAGTTTTTCTTTATGGTTTTATGGCAGCGAAATGGTTTTCTCCCTGCTGGGGGCCAGTTGTAATGCTGGCATCTTGTAGTACAGTCGTTGGTGTATGAATCGGTACAGTAGAGTGAAGCCTGTGATGGAAGTGTCAGACACTTCAGCATAGGGACTGGACTGGAGAATGGCCTGGGGTTCTATTGGGGGAGAAAGGATTCCATAGACCGATAGCTATTTTATCTTGGTTATTGCTCTGTAAAAAAGGGAGTAATTATGCGTATTCTACTAGTCAAGCAAAGGTTTGGTTTTTATGCAAATGGTTTTTAATTGTGGGCTTTGTATCATAGCCTCGTGGGATATAGGGTATATTTTGAATACGCTTTTAGGAGAGATTGTTAAAATGAAAATAGAAGGAAAGCATTTTACGATTGTCCCGTATGTAGTTGAATGAAATTAAGCCAAATAGTTTATTTATGCAGAACTTACATGCAGAAATTGTAATGCCTTCCAAAACTGTCCTTGAAATTCTACAAACAAAAAGTTCTACAAACAAAAAGTATTTTTAAAATGTCCTTTTCTGTTCTCCTCCTTAGTAATTACATTTTAGCTGGTTTTTTCATATAGCCTAGATTGGCTGGCTTTTATCTCGCTCTTTTCTAACTATGCATTGTTTTTAACCAAGAGATTTTAGCAGTGATGTTTCTCAAATATGAATTTAGGTCATTTGTAGAGTAGTAGTTTTTTGTTGTTGTTGCTTGCTGCGTTTTAATAGGGTTTTTTAGTGCTTCTTCCCTAGACCTTTGTAATGGTATGGGGGATTGTATTGTCCTCATTTGTATTGTATATTTGATAGCACAAAAAAAATCGGTATATACTTTGTAGAACACACATCACTCTTCTTAGCCAAACAAGATTACACATTTTGTACAAAATTCATGTCCTAAAGAAACTGAAGCACAAGAGACCATCTTAATTACAGGTGCTCAACTTTTTCCCCTTTCACTAATGTCACCTTAAATCCCAAGATGCTCTTCACTTGCCATAAGTATGGAGATAGACGCTCTTTTTTTTCTCTCTCCCTTACTGACATTAATTTCTCATTACCTTCAAAGTCATCCGAAATCCGACTGACTGTTTGTGGGGCATTCTTAGAAATCAAATACTTGATATTTACTGTCATGTCTATTATTGTTATTATTCGGTGCTGGTCTCGCGATGTGTACATTTGGATGCACTTTTGATAGTGAACATGAATTCCATTGATTGGTCGAGCCAAGCAGGAAACTCGGACATACATAATGTGCAGTTGTGTTGAAATGGCTGTGTGTTCTACCTCTTGTTACCTGTTCAAGTGTTATGGTAACGTCACACTGCTGGTCATTTCTTCATAATTACACAGGATATTATATCTGATAGGCATCGTTTGAATCGTACATTGTCACGTGTTTAAACGTTTGTCATGTATGACAGTCAGTGAACCTGCGTTCTGTAATCATAGTTTCATAGTGCTTGTGCGTGATCCTAAAGCTTGTTAAAAATGTGTTTCCAAAAAAAAGTGGTTTGAGAGCCAATGGTTCTTTAGCATTGAGCTGTAAGACCAAATTGTTGGAAAATGATTTGTTGATCATAACAAGCATTTGTCTTTTTTTTTTCTACACGCCAATGGAACAGCATTCATTTTTAGCACCTTGTTTTAATCACAACTTCATTGCATATCCTTGGAGATAGATGGTGTGTTGCCTAACGGACTGCTTTGTAAGCAACATGTTTGTAAAGCCAAGGCTAATAAAAATTGTAGCTGCTCACCCACAATTTGATGATTAGTATTGTTCATTGACATCTGTCTTTTTAAACTATTAGCTTAATACTTTTGAATATGCAACATGTACTGTTCTGCTCCCATAGATGTACATGGAAAGGCATCTCCCATGTTGCTTTAATTGTGTTCATTGAATGCAGCGTTTCAATGAAATATTGACGTTTTTGGAATGTATCATCTTAGCTCCCCTCATTGTTATGTTTTATTCATGTTTGCTACAGTCAACCCAACAGGTGGCAGATTTCTTTGTTTGTTGATACAATTCAAGTAGACTTGATAACATGAGTTGATGTTATTGCCGTGGAAACTATGATCAAGCATGACGTGTTGTAGGGTGCACTGGTCAATACAGCATGTTTGCTTGTCCATTGAAATGTGAACATTGTCCTTTTCAATATGGATAATGCTCAACGTTTCATACTACCATTTCCCTACCTGAAGTCTGCCTCACCCTTTGTTCATCCTAAACTTGGGAGATGTGGTCTTGTTACTGCTTAGTCCTGTTTTAAATGACCTATTTATACTCAGCACCTTGGATTATACCAGACCTGTACAGCAGTGCTTTCCTGAAAATATCCTAAACATTTGATAACAATGATCTTTTTGCACTAAAATAAAACCCCTTTTGGAGCTGTAGTTGAGTGTAGTGTATTGTCTGAGAAAGAATGAGAGATCAGATCAGCTGGTTATATGATTCTTACATTGTTTAATACCAGGCTAGTTTGTCTGGTGAGACCACACCAAGTCATTGCATTGACAACTGGTCCCAGATTACACACGTGCACTAAGTCAGACATTCAGATGGTTACACCTAGGCCTATTTGTCGAGAGGGATTCTCCCAGCCAGCATACAGTGGGTGATTCACTGAAAATAATGCCTTTAACGTCTTCGTCAGATAAATAACTGCCACTGGGTTGTGATTTAAATCTCTTCCCAGAAGAGGGTGCTATTCATGGATTATTCTATTCATTTTGAGCTTTTGTGTTTGAAAAAGCTTAAATGTTATGAGAAACAGCTTATGCAAAACAATAGGTGAAACTGACATTTATCTTACCATGTATTAGGATACTGGGTGGAAGTCGTAGTTGGAACATTCTGAATGTATAACGTACTGGTTGTGTAAATGTGTAGCTATAGTCTGATGCCAAAGTGGTGTGTGGGGGGGGGGGGATGATGTGTCAAGCAAGTTGGTTGTTAGATGTGTATTACCTGCGTTGTTGTGGTCGCCAGAATTAGAGCAGTCATAGAGAAGTCACGGGTATCAACGAATGTGGCATTTCCGTATGTAGGAGTTGACTGCACACCTTTTTGATCAGAGAGAACCTAGCTATATAACTATTTACAGTCTTTGTCAGCCAAATCAGGAATGTACGCAAGCGAGATATACAATTGCCATAGGGGACTCCTCAGTAAATGGGTATGTTAATGAGTGTATGTGTGGTGTTGGACCAGGAAGTACAAGAGTGGCTAGATTGAGATGGTGAACAATGGCAAGCCCAAGTAAATAATTATGCAAAATGACATTTCAATCATGCACAGACCATCTCCAGTTAGTAGTTATTGCATGAAATCCAGTCTTACAATGGCCTGAGCCCACGGTGCATATGGATCTCCCCCTAGTGGTTTTCTGAGAAAAATACACAATGAATAACAAGTATGTTGATGGGTGTGTTTTCTTGTATTAAAAGGCATATCACGTCAATAGATCATTAGAACTGAACAGTAACCATACGTTCTAGTCCCAAGCCCTTGCAGAAAAAGGTGCTCTTCATATAAAGCTGAGACTACGAGCCCTATCAGATGGTCTTTGTATAATCAATGTTGATATCAATATTTTTGATTAAATCAATGTCAAGCAGTTGAGCATTTGCCACCTGATTTGTACCGTCAGTCTGAGTATTTGTGGAAAACAAATATCGATAACTACAGGTTGAATAATAATAATAATAATAGTCTCCGCCTTATACATAAAATGACAATAGATCCAATATTGAATCTTTATCA